ATGGTTTATTAATTCATGCACATCATTTAAATTAATTGTGCCAGAGTAAAAATTGTTATTTTTCGCAAAATTAATAGTGTTTGTAATTGTTTGCCATTCATTATAAATTTCTGCTATAATTAAATTCTCATTTATTGCTTTAGGATTGAGTGTTTCAAGTTTTCTCTTGAACTGCGGATTAATGTTTTTTGTTTATTATTGTTTTCTATTAGCATATTAATTGACGTTTTGATTTCTATAAGATCGTCATGATCTGGTGTACCAGTTATAAATTTTAGCGCAGAACCAAGAAAGTTTATTGATCCTTTAGCCCTGTAAATATTTGGAATGAGTTGATTTTTCATTTTATTTACTAATATTTTTGTTTCAGGCTGGTTTTCTAAATTATATGAAGATTTCATTATCTCTTCGTAAGTTGCAAGGATGTTGGACAAATTTGAAATGTGATATAAAAACGAACTATTCTGGTAAATGGAAACCGGGCCAGTTTCAACAAGCACATTTTTTTTGTTTTTTAAATCAATTATGTTGTCACATAATGCGATATTGTAATAAAGAAAAAAAAGTTATCTTTGTGAATAACACGTCCCCTATTTGTCGTTACCGTCCTTCCGTTGTCTTCTTTAACAATTTGTTTCGCGTATTTTTTCACATTTTTATTTCGCCTGTGCGTCTTCACAAATATGACGTCACCTTGTCTATAATTCAGCTGCTGTCGATTACGATTCTGATAACGTAAGACTCGTTCCTGATTTTCTTGTAGACGTTCGTGGATGTCAGGATACCCCTTTTGATTGAAGAACACGTCCTCGGGTTTCTCGTTGGTTACCGAATGGATCGTTTTATTGTATTGCCGAACGGCTTCAAATATCTGTTCTTCTGGTGCTGAATTGTGCTGGTCTGCCAAAACTTTCGCGAGTTCAATTATTGTGCTGTGCGTACGCTCTACTTGTCCGTTTGTAGTAGAATGAAGCGCTGGCGTTTTGGTGTGAGCTTGTAAATGATAATTCGTTATCAGTCGTTAGAAATTTTGCGTTTGGGTATATTTGTGAAAGTATCTCGTCGACATATGTACTTGTATATATCTTTTCTTGAAGGTATTTGTCTGAAGTGGCAACGTGCTGCACCAATCGGTTGTTTGTTTGGTCGGCGTTCGTATTTGTTTGTGAGACAGATTTCACAGTCCTGTACTTCTTTTTTACAGGCGTCTCGTATATTTGGCCAGTAATATTTTAACGCAATTTCCTGTGCGTTATTTTTGTAATTTCTGTGTGCACGTCTATGTGTGTCATTTATGATTTGTTTTTGATTTTCGATTTCGGTTATGTCTTCAACCGTTTTATGAGTTAGAACAATAGACACAGTGGGAAATGCACTGATAATATAATTTTCAACGAAAAACAATATTTGTTCATCTATTTGTAGAGCGTTTACGACTTGTAAACCACAATTACATTTTTTAATCTGTCCAATAGCTCAGTTTTAGTGTTAAAAAAATTGTGTGTCTACTGCTAGAAAAGATATTTTGAGATGATACTTGGGTGAGGTTTGCGTCTGATTGTTTTATAATAATTTTATTTTTAAAGCAATTTAATGGTTGCTTTACACGTTTAATTTTTTCTACAGGTCAGCTTTGTGCTGAATGTTGGGAAATATTAGAATGAGATATGTTATTAATTTGTTGGCGGGAAAGTGCATCAGCAACAACGTTCTGCTGACCAGGTTTGTAAGTGATTTTAGCACCATATTCTTCGATGAAAATTTTGCATCTTTTTAATTTTGTATTAGGATTTTTTTTCGATATGGCAAAAATTAAAGATTGATGATCGGTGTATATGGTTAAATCTGCTATGCCATACAAGTAATTTCGAAGGTTTTGTTCAGTTTGGCTAAGTGTTCGTGAAATAAATGATATGAGTTTTTTATTTTGCGATAATACGGCTCCTATCGCGTAATTACTAGCCTCTGTGGTTAATTCGAAAGGTTTGTTAAAATTTTAATTTTTACGCTTTGAGTCTTTGATATGCCACCGTTTTCTCCTCTGAGAAACGTAGTAAGTGGTTTTACAATGGCTGCACAATTTTTTATGAATTTTCTATAATAACTTGCAAGACCTAAAAAGGATCTGAGTTCTTTTAAAACTTCAGAGTATCCTCCAAGTGCGCTTCCAAATTCATCACTCATCAACACCCTACTTAAGTACCAAATATATTCTACCAGCAGTAATCAGTACAAACAAATGTTTAATGCGGTATTAGAGTCCTTAAATGATGATTAGAACTTGTATTATACGGACGGGTCTAAATCAGACACCAGCACAACGTTTGCTGTGACAAACCAGCTAGGTGTTACTATTATGGTCTGTTCCTTGCCATCCTACTGCTCGATATTTACTGCCGAAGCAGCCGCAATATTTGAGGCAGAACAATTTGCTTCCCGAATGGGAAATAAATGCATTATATGTACGGACAGTAGATCTGCAATTGAAGCTATATTTAATACCAATAATGAACCTTTAATATCCAATATTCATAGCATGCTATTGCAAAGCAATAACTGTATAAAAATAATGTGGGTGCCTAGCCATATCGGAATTTATGGCAACGAAATTGCCCATAAAAAATCTAAAGAAGCTTCCAAACAACCACTTCACTTCTTTGACTATTTCACCCATAAAGATATACGCAGACTTGTTGAAACATACGTAAATGAAATTGAAGTAAGAGAATGGAGTAATCACGATCACCACTACAAAAAATATAATCGTGCGGGAACAAAGCCTTTATACCCAGGAAAAGCGACTTGTAAAAATATAAGGACATTTATAAAACTTCGAATAGGACACACAACTGCTACATACGCTCACATCTTAAATGGCGTAAATAAACCAAATTGCGTGTTCTGCGGATCAAATGATCTCACAGTTATACAATTCCTCGATACCTGCCCGGCACTTCAACGAATCAGAGCTAATGTTTCTTCTAACAAAAAAACCTTCTTTATATCTAGAACGGACTGATCACAGTAACATAAAAATCACATCTAAAAATATTTCGCTTTGCAAATTAAATATTTAGTTTAGTTGCATACATGCACCCATTTACTTTTGCTTTGAAATTTATCTTTTTTATTGTATCTAAATTTACGTTATACAAATCGATCTCAAATCTGAATATAATAGACTAAGATTTTATAACATAAGCTGAAGGCCCTGGCAGCCAGTGCTTTATATCTATAAGTGGAACGATTATTTATAATTATTTCTCTTTTAAATAAATAAAAAAAAACGCAATTTTCAGTTCACTGTCGTGCTGCTGCAGTCTGTCGCGAACATTGTGTCATGGATAATATGATACAAAACTTTTTGATTTGAGAGACAGCTGTCAAAACTCGATTTTTTTATAACATTTGCCAGCAGTGGCATGAAAAATATTACATTGGGTATTTAAAAAATTATACAAAACACTAAATTAAACACATTGAAAATGCATACATATATAAATGCTAAAATGCAAAATCATTAATTAATTTACATAAACATTTATTTTGCCAAAATATGTTCGCACAACTCAATGAAATTTCATTTCACACTAATTTCGTTAGGTAATTATAGCGGTTTACTTCTGTCATCCCGCCTTTTCTGAAATCAGCTGATCGAAATTGCCTGATCTACTTCGCTGTCAAATAATCAGGAAACGCGTTTGAGAGAAAAATGAGAGCCAATGCCAGAGTCTCGTATCACATTATCCATCAGAGATAATGAGATCCCCAACTCTTCTCTCACTCTAAGTGAAAGAGCAATTGCTAAACGTCAAAACCTACCGAACTTTGACAGTTGACTGGATTGAGTAGGTTTTGACGTTTTGCAGTTGGAATGACTGGAACGGCCAGATTGAAATTATACCAAAAATATATGTGAACGGAGGAATTTATTGCCGCCGTTCAAGGTCGCTAATAAAAATTTAAAATAATGAAAATCAAGGAAAATGCGAAATTTAAATATATACTATGAAAGGTTTTGTAATTTGATGCATAATAGTATTAATTTTCTATTACAAAAAATAAAAGTCAAATATATAATAATTTGCAATCGTAATAAATGTTGGGTATTTTAATTTAAAATGTCCAAAAATTCTTATTTGGTGCGATCAGGCCATAATGGAAAATGTTATAAAAAACGCTTATTTTGGGGCGCTCTCACACTGGAATGAGTTGGGCATCCCAATATCCCTGTTATCCATGATTGTGTTCAGCACATCACATCTTTTTAAAAACCATTCCGCGTTAGCGCAAAAAATAATTTTCTCATTTTGAGGGGTAGATGACGGGATCATCGCGAGCAAACATGACGAGGGAAGTGAGATCAACGTATTTTACCACTCCATGTTCACAAAKAGAGCGGGATCATATACGGGAAGTTGCAATGTGGGTATCATAGGAGAACCAGTGAAAAACACCACTGTCCTCCTTCCTTTTCCGTCCCTAGCGAGAAAATGTGTGCACAGTGAAAAACGTCGCAACAACGCAGAAATCAGCTGTTCTCTTTTGTTTACATTTCATTTGTTTGACATTTCATGCAATTCTAAATATTGTTTCAGCAGCAATATGGAAGTGGACAATAGTGGTGAAATCTTTTTAAGTTTGTGCGAATTGTACTCTTTATATAGTTTATATAAACAGTATAAAAAAACGAAAGAGAAGGTACAAAATTCACCRAAGCAATAAAACTGGGGCGTTTGCGGTTACTAGATAAAAACTTTTCTGATAATGAAAAACAGCGAACCAGAACAACTTTGTTTTGCATACAAGAATGCCGCCGGACGTCTATAATTTGTTCTGAATTTAGTATGGAAATCCTTGAAGAAGCTATGGCAGCGGATTGGATGCGAGGAAAGGATTTCGTTGGTATTACTGTAAGTTGATTTGTTGTGTTTTGCAAATTAATATACGTATGCATATATGTAATTAATATACATACGTACTTCTCTTACAATTGTTAGCTATTTGTCACAAGGCGTGTCGGTGCAGAGCATTGCATGGAGCTATAAGTTAGGAAAGTCAACAGTACGCGAAATCATATTAGAGACGTGTGAAGTAATCTGTACAAGGACATTATAAAAGATTTTTATAATATGTGGAACATTCCGAATTGTGTCGGTGCAATTGATGGTAAGCACGTTGCTCCTAAGTGCCCGGCCAATTCCAAATCGATGTTTTACAATTATAAGAAATTCTTTAGCATCATTTTGATGGCTGTATGTGATGCGAAATATATGTTCACAGCAGTTAGTACTGTATATTAAATTGTTTAACATTATAGTAAAATGCATTTCTGTTATTATTTATGCAGGAATCTTTCGACTTACTCCATTTGGCCATGCATTAATATMAAAACACTCTGAATTTACCCCCACCTGTGCCACTGTTTGACGTGTCACCGGAACCTTTTCCTTACATTTTCGTTGGAGATTCTGCATTCCCATTACGAAATAATTTAATGCGCCCATTTCCCGGAGCTAATCTAACACACACGAAACGTATTTTCAATTACCAATTGTCACGCCCTCGTAGAGTCATAGAAAATTCCTTTGGTATATTGACTGCTCGGTGGAGAATTTTGAAAACAACAATTGAATGTAATCCAGAAAATTGTCTGCACTTTAAACGCAGCTTGCAGCATTTCCTCTATTGTTTTTCGTCGTTCATTTTATTCAAAAGTAATAAAAGTGCTGAATGATTGCACAGCCAGACTTGATGATTGTTGTTGTTGGATCTGCTGGGTTGGTTGTGTTGACCATTTATTTTTAAAATCTCGATGGCTTCTAATATTTTCTGGTCAACATCGCTAGTAGTTGACCTAGATTGACCTCGCTTTCCACCCTTTTGGGTAGCCGCCTCGCCACGGCAAAAGGAGGCAATGGCGACGGCAGCGATATTGCGATTTGACTTATAGGCGACAACGGCCATAGCGGTGATGGCACTTAGACCTCCTGCGGTCGTGGTAAAATATGTGGCTTAAGAAACTTCATTGCCTTCATTAAATGCCACTGCCTTTGGTACTCCATCCCGCTGCCGCTGGGGGTGTTAGCCTTCCGAACTTCCCTCCTGTACCGGTCACGAAGTGTCTTCGGCGACACATTTCTGCTTTATAAATATATTTAATTATTTTTAACAACGTAAACAGTTGTAAATAACAAAGCAACTTACCACTTGCGTTCAACTCCCTTCCGATTGCACTCCACAAGGCATCTTTCCTCGATTGCAGCTTATAGAATGAACTGCTCTTATTGAATAATTCGTTTTTAGTTTCCACTAATGCAATCAATTTTTCGTCATCCATAGTTTATTTATTAGCACACACGTAATTTCACTTTTTGAACCGATGCAATGAACTTTTCATTTGACGTTTATTTTAATGGCGCTTGTTTATATTTGCACAATGTTGCCATTGCTCACTACGCATATATAGTTTTGTACACATCTACATACATATATACTCTCGCATGATAAAGTGATAATCGAGATTTCAGGCGTGGTTGTGAACCGATTTCACCCATATTTGGTACATGTCATTAGGTTGTTAAGGAAATATTATATATCGAATTTCATTGAAATCGGTTGAGTACTTCCTGAGATATGGTTTTTGGTCCCTAAGTGGGCGACGCCCCCATTTTCAATTTTTAAAAAAAAAAGCCTGGATGCAGCTTCCTTCTGACATTTCTTCCATAAAATTTAGTGTTTCTGACGTTTTTTGTTAGTCGGTTAACGCACTTTTAGTGATTTTCAACATAACCTTTGTATGGGAGGTGGGCGTGGTTATTATCCGATTTCTTCCATTTTTGAACTGCATATGGAAATGCCTAAAAGAAACGACTCTATACAGTTTGGTTAACATAGCTATAGTAGTTTTCGAGATATGTACAAAAAAGTTGGTAGGGGGTGGGGCCACGCCGACTTTTCCAAAAAAATTACGTCCAAATATGCCCCTCCCTCATGCGATAATTTGTGTCAAATTTCACTTTAATATCTTTATTTATGGCTTAGTTATGACACTTTATAGGTTTTCGGTTTCCGCCATTTTGTGGGCGTGGCAGTGGGCCGATTTCGCCCATCTTCGAACTTAGCCTTCTTATGGGGCCAAGAAATACGTGTTCCAAGTTTCATCATGATATCTCAATTTTTACTAAAGTTATAACTTGCACGGACGAACGGACAGACGGACGGACGGACAGACAGACATCCGGATTTCAACTCTACTCGTAACCCTGATCACTTTGGTATATATAACCCTATATATAACTCTTTTAGTTTTAGTACTTACAAACAACCGTTATGTGAACAGAACTATAATACTCTCTTTAGCAACTTTGTTGCGAAAGTATAACAAATATTAATGTGAAACTCTAAAACTCTGCAAAATATTTTTACCTCTTTTTGTTCACACAACTGTAAAATTTCGATATGAAGTAAATATCCGCTCTTTAATTTCTGTTCAATATCAGTACTGCCGCAGCCATTTTGCGATGAACGTCAAGCTTCGGGGAAATGTCATCGATTTTGTTGTAACTTTTTATGTCCTTCCTTCCGTAAACTGATATTCCCCTTATCTAGCCATAGTTCGCACTTAATTAATTTTGCAGGCTAAAAATTTGCCCATCCCTGCTTTAATGGATTTATTAGTGCGAAATTTTATTCCATTATTATAATTACTTTTTGAATTAAGTATTGGAAGGTGAAAGAAAGTCGGCGTGGATGTAGTCAACTTTCGCTATTTGTCACACAGTGACATAGGAATATGATAAGAATGACACCTACTAGATTTAGTCGTAATCGTAATTCTTATGATATTCGCGCTGAACAAAGTTGGTTTTTGTAGCATTATTGGTTCGGGAGATTTATTTTCAAAAATGTATACCCACATGTGTGTGTGTGCAGTATTAAGGCTGCGATCCCTTTACCAAATTACAGTTTTATATCTTACTTTAGTGCTTAGATAGGGCATTTCATAGGTTTTCGTTCAATGGCGATCTGTGGGTGTGGCAGGGGTCCGATTACACCCATCTTTGAACTCGTAATTTTTTTGTATTAAGAAAACCAAATACCAAGTTTAATCAATATATAATATCTTAATTTTTACTCAAGTAAGAACTTGCACGGGCAGGCGGAAAAACAGGCAGTCAGCCGGATTTCAACTTTCTTTGTCATTCTGATCATTTCTATGTATAAACATGATACATATGTACTCTGAAAGAGTATAACATAATCTATTCCTCTTTTTATTTAAGGTAAAGAATTTATGTATATTAAAATTGAAAATTTGACGAAACATAAAAAAGGAAACGGAAAAAATTTAGATTACCAAAAACTTTAATTGCATTCGACGTAAACAAAATAGCGTTTACCTACCTTAGGTATCTATGTATATCGTATGTGTTTTTGTAATACGTACAGAACACTGTTTTAATGACATAACAATGTTATAATAAAACAATTACGACATAAATAGAAGTAGTCAGCTGGATTTTTAATTTCTCAGTCAATGAAATAAATTATTTTTTCAAACATTTATAATTCTCATTAATTAATAAAGCAATTGTTAGATGGATCCTATACGGTTATATATTGGTAAATAAAATTTAACTGTTAGTTATATTTATCAAGATACAATACAGAGTGAATGCAATGTGCGGTACTCCGCACAATTTACATGAACAAGAACTTTTTACTACCAGGCACAAAAATTGGAAGATGTAACTGCATTAATGGAAATTAATAAACTTTGTTAATATAAAATCATTCAAAGTTTCATTGAAAGTACCTGTTTATTGTGTTCAGATTGTCATATACGTTTTTAAATATTTTAAATGTTATTCTTTGAATAAAYTGGATCAACAAAATTTTGGATCGGATAAAATGTACTATCCTATAAAATGGTTTTTGATTTAAACACCACCAATAACCTTCCTCAATCCAGGTAATGCAAAATACTAGAATGCAACTAATAAAATTTTAACATTGTTTATTCACAGCACAAGCAGTTGCACGGATTACTTTTATGATGGCTGTCATAATAAAAGTCAAAATAATTGCCACATTCAATACCAAAATTGTCAATGTCGTCCATGTTGTATAAATTCTGTATTAAATGATCACACTTATTCTCTGTTGAAAAAAATTTGCAGAAAAGTATTTAGAGATTACCATCGACAAAAGAGCCGAGAGAAGTATACAATTTTCGATGGCGGAAATAGCATTAATGTCAGAATACATCGCTCCTCCTTTGGTGAGAATAATTTCATGATTTATACATCTATATATAAATATATAACTTATTCGTTTAGCTTAAGCAAAATAATGAAACAAAATTTCTTGTTTTCAGTACCAGGCCAAGATGGAAAATTTAAGTGTCCACACGCTGACTCAAGTTTATCAACCTTAGGTGGAAGTAGACGGAAGAATGATAAAGATAGAGAAAGAAATAATGATAATATCTCAGAAAAAAGTGAAAGGGGTACTGCTAAAAGAAAGTATGTGGAAAAGGGTAAACCTAGAAAAAGTGTTGAAACTTTTGATAAGAAACACGATAGACAAAAAAAAGGGCAAGATAAAGAAAATGAAAAACATGAAAGAGAGCGGAAAGGAAAGGGTAGAGAGTATGATGATGATAGTGATATTACCAGAAAGCGTGAAAAGAAAAGAGGAAATGAAGAAGATTACAATACTCAAGGGAAAAGAGGTAAAAGTCAGTGACATTATGCGATGATGATGTTAAATATTTTTTAAAAATATGCAAAGGTAAAAAAGTTGAGTTCGGAGATAAACGCAATGCTGATAAAAGCGGAAAAAAGGTATCTGAAAGAAAAAAGCCTGGTGTTAATGATGATGGTGAGAGAAAGGACGATGAATCAACTGATGATAAAATAAGGAAGAAAAAATCAGAAAAAACTAAAAAAAAGAAAAGAGAYGAAGATAATGATAATTATTTTGGTTCTCGAAATATAGAAAAATTAGACAAAAGCCTGACACCAAAACACGAAGGCGATGAAGTAAGTAGACCTGGGACTAAAGAAGGGAAGAATAAGCATAGAGACAGTAATGAAGATAGAATAAGTACCGCGGGCCGAGATGGGCGAAAAAGGCGAGAGGGCGTTTCTAAAGATGAAGGTAAAGGGAGCAGAAGTCCTCAAGGCAATGATAGCAAAGATGACCACCAAAATGGTGATAGGCTCGGCGGTGTAAAGGACATCCAAAAAGCAACAAAGAATATTCGAGATCATGACCAAAATAAACAGGTCAAAAAAAATGGAAATGAGAGTGATTGGTTTAACAGCTCAAAAGACGATCAGTTTGACTACAAGAGATATACGGAAAGGTATCCTCAAGACCAAGGTAGAAAGGATATGAGACCACAGGTCAGGGATCCTGGCCATACCGGAAAGAAAGGCAGCAGATATAGCGATAATCAAATGAAAGGTAGTAGGAATGACGGGCATAGACGCGATCAGTATTCCAGAAAAGATGTTAGGGATCTACCCGTTATATCCGATTTACGTACAAAAGTGCGTAAAGGTCATGATGTAATGCCCGTCCGTAAACAAAAAGTAGGAAAACATGGGTATCATTCAAGTACACTTCTGAAAAGAGGGAACCGAAAGAAAACAGTCAAGCCCGAACTTAAACAACTCATCAAAGATCGCATTAATGAACGACATGAAAATAGAATAAAAAGGAAATCTTCAAGTAGAGGACGTAGAGCTCGGTTTGGTGTCGGATATGGAATTGCATTTTCAAGCCGTTGCGATGAAATCAGGCCATGCGATATACTTCGTGCTCATATGGAACAACGTGAACTTTGGTTAGTTCAGAAACAAATATACAAATATACATATTTACATTTTTTTTTTCAGTGAAAGACAAAACACGTGTTGCCTCCAATGTTCATATGACTGCAATGCAGTTTACTGCCCCGCTCAGACTACTATTTGTTCCCGCATATGTTAGAGTATCCCTTTAGACTATATATTATTATAAATTAGTAGTGACTCTGGTTATAATATAAATGTTTGAATATTATTAGTATTTGATTTATAACTATTAAATTAATATTGAAGTTTTTAATCAAGCAAGGAAGGGCTAAGTTCGAGTGCAACCGAAAATTTTATACTTTTTCAATTTGCGACAATCAAATCCAGCGACATAACTTAAGGTGTAAAATTTCAACCAGAAGATCGAAATATAAGCAGTTTAATATGTAAGTATACTATTTACTTTTAATTCACTTAATTTTTGATTTTTTTCTCTTTTTTTAAATTGTATGTCTTAACAAAATTCACTTTGAACACACATACTGGCGGCGAAACATTCCACCGTGTGCGTGATATGATGCTGTAGGTTGTGTCCGATGAAGGATGTGTGTTGAAATGTTACGGGATCAGAATTCGCATAAACATCTCGACCCCCAGGCGAATTAATTGCCTAGAAGTTTCTGCATACTTTGTAGTGTTCTTAAAACAGCGTCGAATTCCGCTGGCTTGCGCAGCTGGTTGCGTTGACCATGGTGTGGTGGAGGTGTCCGAAAGCATGCACCTCGGTACTGCTTGGGTGGATGGATTCTTCTGCGTTCGACCTGCTCTCGTGTTGATTGTGCCAATGACTACGGTGCATTGACGGATTGGCTCGTCGAGAAGCATGAAACAATGTGTGATGCGGTCGGTGGCAATATTAACAAGACCCGTAGGACAAACAATCAAAAGTGGAATGAGTGTCAGCAAGCAAGTCATATAGTGGCCGTGGGCTTTAGCGATCTGTTGGCGTTCAGCGGGCTTCAAACTCCTGAAATTCGTGCACCTCTTCAGGACGTGTGATTGATGGCATAAGATACATCGTGGAGGCGAATCATCTTCAGCGATTTTTTTCATAATTTTTTTTTTATTATTATTTTACATTGTACCTAGTATGTAAAGATAAAATACCAAGAATAATTCCAGTCTAATTAATTAGGAGAGATACTTAAAGGCTAAATGTTAAGAAATACATTTGCTGTTACTGTTGTCTTACTAGGTCGGAAGACTTCTTCCGTTTCAACCGGATTTCTCACCCAGCAGTTTCGATGAGTCTGAATTCACGCTTAGATAATGGTGCAGGTCAGCAGATCTAAAGTACCAAGGAGCATTAGTTAAAGTCCTTAGTACTTTACTTTGAAAGCGCTGAATGCTGGCTATACAGCTTTGACTTGAGCAACCCCATAGTTGAGCTCCGTAGGCCCAAACTGGCTTTAGAACTTGATTATATATTAACAGTTTGTTTTGAATTGATAGGGGGATTTCCTACCAACTAGATGGTAAAATTTTCCAAATTTCATATCAAGCTCGCTCCTTTTTTTAACATGCTCTTTCCAGCGTAGCTTAGCAGCTAAGGTGATACCTAGTTACTTAGCACTGTTAAGATGTTGTATAGGAATTTTATTTATATAAATTGGACAATGTGCCAGCTTTTTCAAGGTTAAGTCGACATGAATTGATTTGATTTCGTTTAACTTTATGCGCCACTTAGATGCTCACTTAGTAATTGTGTTGAGCGCTGTCTGCACTCGTCGACTAGATAATGAAGTTGTCTCTTCAGCTGCTAAAAAAGTTGTGCCATCCCCAAATGTCGCTGTCATATAATAATAATCAGATAGGAGATCACGGGTAAAAATGCAAATAAAATATTAGCCCAACACGCTTCCATGGGGAACACCCGCTTCTATGGGCTGCAAGTTTGAATATGCATCACTTGTTTAATGCAGAAGTATCTATCTTTTATGTATGAAGCAATTTTTTCACAAAATTGTTTCGGTAGCATATATTTGAACTTTGTCAAAAGCTTAAGACGCGTATAAAAAGGCCGCCGTAGAATCGTTCTTTTTATCGATTGTATTTTCAACGAAATTAGCGATAGGGGTGTACCTGGTCAATTGTTGAATAGTTTTCATAGAAGCCACATTTATGTGTAAGTGTTAGGAGTTAAAGAGCGATTATAGGTTTGAGCCTTTGAATACATTCTCAAAGATTTTAGATAAAGCTGGCAGCAGCGGAATTGGTATATATGATGTTATGACTTCAGATACTTTCCACTTTATTCACTATTCTTTTAAATTTATACCAATTAGTGTGTTTATTGCATAACCTGGGCTTCGCGGCCGAAATAAATGGATTTTCGTACAGAGTTAGTATCACTGGGAAATGGTCATCTTTAATACACGGATAACATAAAAACATTTTTTATTGTGTTCTCAGTCTCACATACCCAAGAATATGAAGAGTGATAAATATATGTATGCAAATTAATTTTTTATTTACTTCATTTAAATTTTTAAAAAGTACCGTACTGGCTAACTTATATCTTGCTTATAACTTATAACTCTCGCTCACATCTTATAACTGACTTATAACTCTAGTTCTTATAGATTTTTAATGCTGATCATGCAAAAAGGATGGCTGTGGCATTTCTTGTAGCATGATCAAGTTCTAGTATTCCAATTGATGATGACTTTGCAAATATTGTTGATTTTAATATACTTTGTTTATGTTATATTCTATTATGAATGTGGTGTCGACTTACATCACATATGTGTCTACTAGAGA